AGCCCGCTGCTCATCGACTACGACGGCTCGGTGCTGCCCTTCCTCGGGGGGCTGGGCGGCAGGTACCAGCGGACCCTGGTGCTGCTCACCTGGGTCCCGGCCCTCTTCATCGGCTTCAGCAAGTTCTCGGACTCCTTCCTTCTGGACCAGCCCGACTTCTGGTGCCGGGAGGCGGACGGGCAGGGCAACTGGAGCGGGTCCCTGGCGCCGGGCCACGCCAACCGCAGCGGCAACGGCAGCATCTTCCCCCCGCCCGGGCTGCCCACCCCCGCGGGGGGCAACGCCAGCGAGTGTGACTGCCACGAGTGGCACTACCGCATCAGAGCCGGCCTCGTCCAAAACGTCGTGAGCAAGGTGAGAAAGGCGGCTTCCCTCAGCCCCCCTCCCCGTCCAGCCCTCACGGACCCCCTCGGCCCTACCCTGGCCCCGCTCGGCACCCGCTTTTCCCAAAGCAAGGGGAGCAGCCGGACACAATGCAGATCTGTCCATGTGTTCTGCTGCCGGGTCGGTCAGGCGCCCTGTGGGTTACTTTCCCACCAGGAGTAAATCCCACATCCCTGTAATCCTTTCACTCCCAGGGAGTTATGGCGGGTGTTCGTCCTGTGAGTTTGTACCTGGGTGCTGGTTGCGGCACTGAGCTGCAAAGTTATGTCCTGAAATGGGATCCTCGGCGGCTCTTCGGGATCCCAGCAACGGCAGCTGTCCTGCTGTCTCAGGACGCAGGTGTCTGTGGGAAAGACAACGGGGGCAAGTGTCACCAGCTAGTGAGGGGAGAGAGTTGTGGAGAAGGCTCCAGTTGCGATAGTGCTCATCTTTGTGCAAGTATACCAAAGCGGATGTACAAGCCAAAAAACAGGTTGATTTTTGGCGAAGCTGATGAGGTGGTCACTCTTGGGAGGAAAACCAGATAAAGTTCTGCTGAATTCTTCTTGTTTTGTACTTATTCCCTTTGATAACTGTTTTGGTAGAGCAATAAAAGAAGAAATGTCTCACACAAGTTGTCGTACTCCAGAGGCAGAAAGCGCATGCTGCTCTGTTTTGTGTTTCCTAATGTAGTGGCTAAGGTGGAAAATTTCTAGTGAGGAGGGCTGCGCTTGCTGCTTTTACTTCATATTTGCTGAGTAGCGCGTGCAAAAAAAGGCCTCGCCTTTTCACCTGAAAGCTTCCACTTGTTTATGCTGCTGGCCCCGCGAAAGCCCTGCAATCTCTGGATGGGCCTCGTTGGTACTAACAGGCAACTGGAGCTCTTGGAAATGTAAAATGAAACTGTTACACCAGGAAAGTAGTTCCCTTAATCTCAAGACTCCCCCTAAGATCAGCAAAAATTACTTCCTGCCCGGGAGCAGTGTTTTGGATTAACCGTGCTTATCTAGTTGGGGGAAAGAAACGCAGCAATAATCAGATGACCGGCATGATTGTGCTTTGGTCACGCGTCTATATTTAATCATTAAAAATCATTTCAGCTTCTCTTTGTGTCCCTTGAAAGCGTGTGCAACAGGGAAAAAGCAGGTAAAGCAAACCCCTCAAAACCTTGAACCCAGAATGGATTAAAAAAACCCCAAGCAACCTAGCTGTGCTCCTTCCATGAAAAAAAACACGGGCACATGGTAGACTTGAATGGTTTGTGATGTAGAAGCGCATAATGAAATTTGACATTTGAGAGAGGCAGATTTTCTTCTGGTTTATAACCAGAGACTGAGCTATTCATATGTTTTAGGGTTTAACACTGACGCTTAAGCATGAAAAAAAAGGATCTTGAAATATTTCTCTTTAGTGTAAACTGTAAAAGAAATTTTTTTGAAATGTTTGAGTCTTTTGAAGGTCATCATCAAGTTGGCCACAAAAGGTTGGGGGAGAGTTAGTTTGCTATCTTTGCATGCTTCTTTAAAAATAATAAAAAGAAGTGTTCTTTGGAAGAACTTGCAGTAAAGGGCAGATCAATTTTAAGGGATAAATAAACAGCTGTGGTCCCTGCTGTCTTGTTTTCTGTTAGAAAGAATAATAATCATCTTTTCAGACTATGGGTTTTTCCAATGTGGAGTTTTTATTTTTGTTGTATGCTCGCGTCCAGAAACTTGGCAGCTTTTTCTCTTTGATTTGTAATCCCATGTAATTATAATTAGGTTGTTTTCTCAGGGTCAGGATTCCTCCTTCGTCGGTGTCTTGGTTTACTTTTCTGGGTTTTCTGGGTGGGTGTGCTGTCTGTTTTTATCCTAATGAAGAAAGAGAGGAAAAACCCAGGCACAGCATTAGCGTAGCTTAATTCGGTCTTCCTTTCTTATAAACCCCCAGGAGCTCTGATACTGTGGGAGCGATTGTCGTAACTGCTGACTCCTCTTATGTGCATCCCACTGTCCTTTGTGAGAAAGAGCTGTCCTGGATGAATTCAGAAGACTGGATGTTCAGATCTCCCTTAACTCCCCTCAAAAATGCATTTATTTCTGTAATGTATTATGCAATGTTCTCATCTTTCTAAATAGAGTTTTATTAAATCTTAGTCTAATATACGCTCATCTGTGTAGTAGCCAGGGGTTATATTGAAATATCATAAAGAGAGCCAAAAGTATATTAATAAAAAATGCACTTTTGTTTGGCCAGTAAATCCCCTTGTTCTTCTCTTCAGCGGTCCAAGCTAATAGCTGCTGGATGTTCCATCGCTGCTTTGCCCTCAGAAACGACGTAACAATTGTGGTTATTTAGCGCAAAGCATATTTCCTGCTCTGCATTTTGTTGATGTACGTGCGCGTGAGATGTCACTGTCCCCCATTCCTCGGGAGTAGATAGCTGTCCTTAAACTACATTAAGTTTCACTGTCTCCGTAGCCTCTCTCCTAATGGTACCCTTCATCAGATACTGTCTCTCTGTCCCTGCTTTCTCAGCTCTCCCTTCCCCGGTGCCCTTTTTCTCCCAGCCTGTGTCATGCTTGGGACTGACGAAGTGGAGATCTTGCTGTTTTCAGCCCCGCTCTGCGCTTTGCTTAGCCCCGCTTCTCTTTGAGTCTTTGCTGGAGCCAGAGGTGGCCTTGCACCTTCCTTGAAGAGTGGTATTGCCACGCTAGACACTGCCATTACCCTGACCCCCTCGACTGAGTCACTGGGAACGGTGCTTTTTATAGTGCTGCCAGTCATCAGAACTAGAAATGGTAATAAAGGACGTGCTGCTTATTATTTAACACTGTTGAAGTACATATAGCGAGAAGGTCAGATGCATAATTTAACCACAGGGATTCCAGTGGCCATATTAAATCACCCATCTGAGCTAATGTCCTGACTTGGTACATAAATCTTGGACTTTAGCTTGGTTTGTACATAAATATCTTCCTTTAGGACAATTCACTTGTAAGGCTTTTTCACTGCTAGATGCTTCTTTGAGGATTTTCATCTATTCTTTATCACATCATCATCATTATCGCACCACTATAAGCAGAGTGCACGTGTATCACTTCTGAGAGATCTATCCTTATAGCCTTTAGGCAAAAAGCTAGTTAAAAAAAAAAAAAAAAATCTGTCTTTTAAATGGTCTGTGTATCTCACCACTGTCCCAAGGAAGGATGCTGAGAAATACTCTCCTTTTTTGCCATGGGGAAACCTGAGGTCTCATTTTGCCCATTTGCAAAGTGACGCTTCAGGTAAATTATTAGCATTAACGCAATAAGCAACATAATGACAACTAAACGTACCTAGCCTTGAAGCCTGGCAGGAAGTTGGAGCGTGTACTCAGCAGGGACTTTTCTAACTCTCTTGTCAACTTCTTTAGTGCATGGGTCTTCTGACCATCTGCAAAGCCAGCTGTAATCTTGGGGCAAAGTTTTCACGGAAGCTCTCAGTTACAGGATTGATGGTGGTTGTTTTTCCCTCCGTTACTAGGATGACCTGTCCGCTGTATTTGATTGCATTACATGGTGGGGTTGTTTGTTGTTCTGAATGCTAATTTGTATAATGAACACTAAAAGCTGACGATGGGCAAGGACTGAGGCTTGATTAAATTGCAGCAGTTGATGGCACAGCAACCCTCTGTCCGCACCCGCGGCGTTCCAGATCGTTCCACCTCTTGGGGGTGCCGTAGAGGGAAGTGGTTAGTTGAAGGCTGTGTTTTAATCACCCAGAGCAATTATGTAATAATATTTCATGTCTAGTCACAAGGGAATTCCTGTTGTGGCTGCTTTTCTGCTCCAGATGCCTTGTTTTGCTGCAGTGCTGTTCTCTTGGCTCTCAACTTCCCACTTGATTTGAGTTGAGTCATCTTCTTTCCCAAGTAACATGCTATCATTTTACCTATTTGCCGCTGGTTCAGTCATTCTTGTGCCAATTTGGCTGAGCCTCTAGTAAATTGTCCCCTCCAAAAAAGGGCAGCTTAATTCAGGAGAGCCAAATGGTCCCGGGGCAGTGCTGTCTTGGTGTGAAGTTGGATGAGTTCAGGCTGTGATGTGATGCTCTTTGCCCCTGCAAGGGAGGGTGTCTGTGCCCTATCAGCCTTTCTTTCCCCTGCTTTTATGGCAGTTCTGGCACTTTTCTGGACGCATATTCAGCTGATTTAGTTTGCTAACATGGTAGGAAACTTTAAATACATTTTTTAATTATTTTTTTCTGTGTTTTCTGCTGGGTTAATGAAGTGAAATGGCTCTGTGCGGTGTCATGTGCCCTAGACTATGGCGTTGTCTCATGGGATTATTGCAGGTATCTGCGAGTAGCCAGAAATGGTGCAATAAACAAATCTCTGTGTGGTAACAGTGATGATAAATTTGGCACTGCTTGTGGGGTGATATTTCTTGGGGTAGGGCATTTCAAGTGGATTTTCAGAGTATAGTTGTTAGTTAATTCAAAGGGGATCACTCTGACAAGGTCCTTTCCAAGATAAGAGCTGTGCCACCCTTTCCAGGCACAAATGGGAGATCTCTCACTCGTTTCTGCGTATCCTCCAGTTGGCTGGTCTCTGCAAAGAGACTTCAGAAATGCTGATGCTTCTCTTTTTCCTGCAACTGCCAGGATTTGTCTTGTCAGTGTTGGTTCCTGGCTGACTGGCTGCTTCTTAGTCCCAAATCAATGAAAACCTTGAGTTACTGTACCCAGTGCAGTAGTTGGGTCAGAAGCGGCAAGAGGAAAGCTAGTATATCACCCATGCCCTTGCTACCCTTGTACAGATTGAAGGGGATGTAGGGACCTGCAAGGCAGATACTTGCAATGGGCAGAAAGACTATTCTAAATTTCTTTCAGACGAGGCTTTGAAATTACTTTCTCTGCTCCTAATGGGCGCTGAAGGGGTCAACAAGTCCCTGTGGTCAGAGGTATCCAGAAATACTGGCAGACCAGAGCAAACTTCTACTACTGTTGTTGGGTTGTTTTTTTTTTACGGCT